TTAAAATTTAAGCTCGATAAGCCCATTATAATTTTTTCTGAAATAATGGTTTTACTTTTTCAGCCCAAGCTTGGGCCCAACCAGAAGAGGACTACCTTTAAAGCCTAGGCCCAGCCTATGAACAAGTCTAATATAAGTATATGTTTACACAAATCCTAGTGTATTATTATTTGTTCAAACAAAGAGTGAGGAAAAAACAGAGAAAATGGAAGACATTGTTTCTTCTTCTTCAAATAGTACTTCACATAAAAAGAAAAAAAAATTGGTTTCATTTAATATTTCATCGAATATTTCTTCTTCAATACCTTCATCGTCGTCGTCAATTAGTGCAACAACAACTACATTGCTTCTCTTCTTCCTTTTCATTTGCACCTTGGTTTTGATTCAATGGTTTGATATTGTAAGTCTATTTTTTTCTCTCTTTTTCTTTTTTTCATTGCTCATTCCCTTTTAGTTTAATTAAATTTGATTTTTGATTATTAAGTTTTTTTATTTTTTGCTTACTTTTAATAATTTTATTAATATTTTAATAACATATAGTATATATTTTCATTTGTAAGTCCTTTTAATTATTATTTTTCTTTGACTACATTTTTTTAACTATGACATGGCCAAGACAAGCCTATGTAGGAATGCAAATGAGAATCAAAGAGAACATTCTTAATGTGGAAACTATATATTCTTAACATATAAACCTAATACATAAGATTTTGAGAATTAAAAAATTCAATTATAGGAGATATGCAAGGGAATATTGCATGTATAACTTCCTTATATTGACATACTTACCTAATTAAGGGATCGGATCAGGTCAAAGATTCTACAAAAAGAAATTAATTAATATGAATTTGTCGTCTTATAGTGTGCTAATGGGCACAAGTCATGAAAATCAAATACGGATTACTTAAAATAATTAATGATCAAAATTACGTGTTAGCAAAAATGGATCTATTAGGGGATAATAAATAGATCTATATCCTCATATAATTTGGAGATCTATTGTAGAAAAAGCAACTCGATAATAAAAATGATAATTTGATCGGTATTTGCAAAATAAAATACGGAGAAATTGGTTATAGTAATGAAATTCAACGTGTCTTGTGTGCGGCTGGCCGCTTGTAGAAGAATAAAGTAACCCCTATAATATTAATCGAGTAACCCAGTAATACTGACCAAGTAACTCCTATAACATTGACAAGTAACCCCTGTAACATTGATGAAATAACCCCTGTAACACTGACCGAGTAACCCCGGCTGACCGCTTGTAAAAGAACAAAGTAACCCCTATAATATTGACCGAGTAACCTAGTAATACTGATCAAGTAACCCCTATAACATTGACAAGTAACCCCAGTAACATTGATGAAGTAACCCTGTAACACTGACCGAGTAACCCCTATAACACTAAAAAATGAACCTTTGTGTGGCCAGTCACATATAAGAATCGGTGAATGAAATTTATTAGCAAATCCAACGAGTATATTCTTTGAACTTTTTTTTTTATTAATAATACACGACATTTTTACAACAAATTTAAATGTGTTAGATGAGAGTATGGCCACGTAACTTCATTTTCTTGCAAAGTAGCAAAGGTTCAAACTACTTGAAAGTTAAGGGGAGAAGTAAGGGAATCCCTCTACTCTCAAGTAATTGTAGTTGATGGGGATTGAACTTGTGACCTAAGGTCACAACGTGAATGTCCTACCAACTCTACTAAGTTTGCTTGGTTTATACAATTATACATGACTTTAATTGACACGGGTCATTTACTCATATATTAATCTACTAGTACAAAAAGTATGTACTACGTAGTTGTAGACTTGCAGTGTGGTACTAACCAATTATGTTTTTTCTTTTTTTTTTGGTGAATTTTATTTTGGTGCATATTTTTCAGTCAACTCTAGCGAGCAGCGCAAGGTTATTCACCTACTCAATGCTATTTAACAACTACAATTATAAGTACCCAAAGAAGGATGAGTATCTTCTCAACTGCACCTCAAGCAACATGAACATAACATGCCCAGCAAACTACCCTTCTACGACATACAATCTCAACTTCCAATTGAACGAAACATGCCCCAAGTACTTTAGATGGATACATGAAGACTTGAAAATATGGAAGGAGAAGGGCATTACAAGAGAAATGGTGGAGAGTTTACAAGATAAAGGTACTCATTTTAGATTGGTTATTGTGAATGGAATAGCCTATGTTAAGCAATATGGTAAGGCTTACCAAACAAGGGATACCAATACATTTTGGGGCATATTGCAACTCCTTAAGTTGTACCCTGGTAGACTACCTGATCTCGATTTGGTGTTCCAATGCGAAGATCTACCAGCCATTAAAAAAAGACGATTATAAAGGAGCAAAGGCCGCCTTTGCACCTCCACAATTTCATTTTTGCGGGGATGATTCTACCTATGATATTGTCTTCCCCGATTGGTCTTTTTGGGGCTGGTAAGTCATCAATATTTCGATTATATATGTTTCGTTTATAAAGATTATCAATGTTACATGCTATACACTTCGTATAATTAAACAATTAACTTAGTGCGTATATAGCTAATTAATGAGATTGTGATGTCACACGCATGATAAAAACAACTATGTGCAAAGAAATAAATATTGACAGGGTGATCCTTTTAATCTATATAACATTTCACGTGTTAGGAATGATGTATTATATGTCTATATGGGCCATGTGTTTAGTATGGGATAAGTAAAAGCGGCCTTATTATTAGCTTAAACATATTTATACTCTTGTACGTGATTAATTTGTACAAAATTTCAGGCCAGAAATCAATATAAAGCCATGGGCGCCCTTGTTGAAGGATATCAAAGAAGGCAACCCTGTGAAAAACTGGACTTCTAGGAAGCCTTATGCTTTCTGGAAAGGAAACTTGTATAATGGTCCAAGACGCGAGCTTAAGAAATGTAATTCCACAAATGATTGGAACACTGTAATTATTAAACAGGTAATTACAATCCTTATTACATGCCCATAATTCCTTATGAAAAATGTCTTATCTAGATCTACCAACATATAATAAACATCGAGCTAATAAGTGTATACAATCTATCTTACAGTTATATATAATTAAGTATTTAGACATTTTAGAGAACGTTTCCAAACTCCCTATAATATAATTTTATATCGAAAAATGAAAATAGAAATTGATGATCATAAATTCATAAATCATGCTCAACAAATCAGAGTTTATTGCTAACTAATGCAGTGCACATTGACAGGATTGGCGCGAGAAAGAAGCATTTAGTAACTCTGATTTGTCAAAGCAATGTATTCATAGGTATGTACTCCGTATATCTTTAATACTAGACTTCTAGGATTTTTTTATTTTTTTTTTTGGTCTTGATTACAGTTTTTTAATTAATTTTAATTTTTTTACAGATACAAGTTATATATGGAAGGAATTTCATGGTCAGTGAGTGAGAAATACATTCTAGCTTGTGATTCCATGACCATTCTGATAAACCCTAAATATTACGACTTTTTTACAAGAAGCTTAATTCCTATGGTACATTATTGGCCTGCAAACCCTGATAATCTATGTCATTCTATCAAATTTGCTGTTGATTGGGGCAATAAAAATACTCACAAGGTTAGTTTCATCAAAATAATTCCGGAATACAAGTCTAATTTTTATCAAGACATAATTCGTGTTATTATTACTGTTATTGTTATTATATATTTTTGTTTTGCTAAAATTGAATTTATGGATGTATAAACAGGCTCAAGAGATTGGAAAAGCAGGAAGCAAATTCATGTCCGATCAAATAAAAATGGAAAATGTGTATGATTACATGTTTCATTTGTTAAATGAAAATGCAAAACTACTAAAGTATAGGCCCACTATACCTGAAGGGCCATTGAGTTATGCTCCGAGAAATTTGCATGCGGCCCAATGGGCTTGGAGGCTACTTTTAAAAAAGAGACCATGGTTAATGGGCCTTCGGAACATGGCCCATGTAAACTTCCCCCACCTTATGATCCAAACACACTAGAAGCTATTCTTGATCGAAATGTCAAGATCAAACAAGTTGTTGAGATGTGGGAGAAGGGAAGTGCCTAATTTAGTAATTTACCATAATGTCATACTAAAGTTGAGACAATGTATTCATTTAATTTTTGTAATTTTCAACAATTTGACTTTCTAGTTTGGCAACTCACATTTCTGTTATTAAATCCTTACACTTCTATTATTATGGATAAAGTTTTAAGAAAAAAAAATAAAAAATCCTTTTCAGTACTACTATTACAAAGATGTAATTGTAATTAACAATGTTTTAGTCCCTATAATGTGTTGTAATATAAGGTGCTTTTCCAAGGCTACAATAAGATCGAAAAATTGATCTTATAATCAATGGAACAAATATGATGTATCGTGATGCAAATCACTGACTTGAAAATGAAATTCCGGCACAACCGAGGTGCACAATTGTATTCGCCGTCACGTTCCCTAAGGTTAACACACCACTTTCATACAAAGACACTTTTGGGTGAAAGGTTAGAGCCAAGTAACTTATGCCCAATATAGAGTATGTGTTTAAGCTTGTGTTTGAAGGTTATGTTCAAGTATATTGAAATCAGAAAACCATCCTTCAAATTATAATGATAGATGGAGGAAGATGGAAGATCAAAGAAGAATATTTTCCATCAATGAGGAAATAAAGTTAGAATTATTATAGTGATTTAATCACCATAATCAACCTCTTAAATGGGGGGTTACAAAGAATCAACCAAGAGAATAAGAAGGAGAATCCAAGAAGAGCCGTTAGAGTCCAACCAATAAGTTCACGCCCGGTCGGGCGAACACTTAGCATTTTCAGACGCCTTCTCGCGCCCCCTAACCCCTTGAATTCCCTTTTTTTATTCCAACATAATGTTCACCTTACTTTAGGATAAATAAGTTCTAATAAGTGTTAGTAAATTTTGAGAGAATAATTTTAACATTATAAGTGTACAAAGTTCATTTAAGTTCACGTAAAATCAAATAATTTGTTAATTTTGACCAATAGGGTGATAACATGTGGACCGTTTAGTCGGAATATAGAAGGGGTGGTAAAACCTATTGATTATGTGTTTTGAAGGTGTTTTTTTTTTTTTTTTTTTTTTTTAATTTCGTAAAAAGAGGTGTATTTGCGGGGTTTTTTTTTTTTTTTTTTACTTTTTTTTTTCTTTTAAAATTTCCATATTAGTTTCCATTTTAAAAAGGAAAAGAGAAAGCACAATGACATCGCGCCACATCCCATACCGGAAACCCAACCCCACCAACAATATTATACTCCAAGAGTAATACCAAGACTTCCAATTAGCTCAACTATACTTGTATAATTAAGCTTTATTATCCTCTAAATAAACAGTACATACTCCAATTTAATTTCGAACAGAAAAATGGAGGAATCTAATAATCTTCCTTCTTCTACTACTACTTCAAAATTCTGGAATTTATTCAATTGCATAAATTCTTTATCAACATCAAGATCGAGATGGTTTTCTGCAACAACTGCTTCTCTGTTGCTCATTTTCTTCTTCATTTCTACTCTCCTTTTTACTCACTATTCCGATTATATTGTAAGTTTTCTCTTTTCTTTTTATATTTTGCTTTAACTTTGATGATTTAATCTTGCTGTTGATTAATCTTGAAGCTTTAATTTTATGTTTGGTGAATGTTTGAATTTAAGGTTCTATAAAGTCAATTAAATTGTAGTCCAAAGCTTAATTCAAATAGATTTAAAAATTTTAAGTAAAACAACAGTATAATTTACTTTTGAATTTGTCGATAAAATCTACTCAATCCCGTTAGTAAGCAAATAAGCAACAAAATTGTACCAGAGTATTAACTTTCCTAAAATCGAAGAGGCGTCTAGACTGATTATTGTAGCTGTAGGAGTTGCACATGTTCCGGTCATAATTGGTCCTTTGAAAATGTGGGAATCGTTGGCCACGTGACTTTGATGCTATTTGTACAATTGTACGAATAAACCTGGGCACGGGCCGGGTTGGCCCGCGTGCCGCCCGGCACGGCCCGAAGTCAAGCACAGCACGGCACGAAGTTCAACTTCCGTGCCACGGGCCGTGCCACGGACACGGTGGAGAATTCCAGGCCCGGCACGAGCACGGGCATGGCCCGCCGTGCTGGCCCGCAGGCACGGCCCGCGGGCCAACGGCTATAAAACGGCTAGTTTTTTGCCAAAAATTCTATAAATACTCACCTCCATTTCATTCCCAAATCACAAAATCACAATCTCTTCTTCTTATCTCTTATATTCTCTAAATCTCTAATAATCTTTATTTTCTTAAATTCTCTAATTATTCTCTTAAATTCTCTAATTATTTTCCTAAAATCGGAAAAAATTAAAAAGTTCGTAATCGTAATTAGTGGAGCGTTGAAGTACGGTTGTCAGATCTAAACTAATCTTAAATTTATTATTGTTTTATTGTTATTATTAGAATAATCTTGTTTAATTATTATTGTTGTTAAATTGTTATTGTTGTTGTTATAATTGTTGTTATTAATTATTATTATTGTTACAATTGTTGTTATTATTTATTTTTGTTGTTATTGTTATTGTTATAGTTGTTGTTATTAATTATTATTATTGATATTTTTATTGTTAAAATTGTTGTTATTAATTATTATTATTATTGTTAAAGTAATAGTATAAAGTAAATATATAAATATAAATATTGAATATACAAATTATAAAACATAAATATTCAACTTATAATTATAAAATTCATAACTTAATAACTTATAACTTATAAGTTATAAACTTATAAGTTACCTTATAAAACTTATAATTCTAATTTTATAACTTATATACATTATAAAACTTATTAATTTATAATGTTGTCATTAAAAAAAAAAAAAAAAAAAAAAAAAAAAAAAAAAAAATGAAAACTGCACCAGCCCGCGCAGGCCAGCCCGCAGGCCGGCACGTGGCCGGCACGACACGAGCCCTCCAGGCACGAGGCCGTGCCGTGCCGTGGGCTGACCTGTGAAAATGGCCGGCACGGCACGGCACGAAATCCTGGGCCCGCCGGCACGACCGGCACGACACGAACCAGCCCGTGGCCCGCCAGGCACGGCCCGCGGCGCTCCGGCACGGCACGGTGCCCAGGATTAATTGTACCATACGAAACAAATACGAGTACTCCTTATCCCGTATATGATGTCATACGAGTATTTTTTAAGACCTATAAATATGCGAATTGCTAAATACGATCAACAATTTCTAAGCAAAAATATTACGAGTTTGTGTGTGGATAAATGTATAGAAACATGTATGGGCTATTGAGCATTGTATTTTGTGGCTCATATTAGTCCTTTTTAACTCGAGTGTGGGTGGATAAATTGTATAGAAACATGTATTAACACTTGAACATTGTATTTACGGCTCATGTCAATCATTTCAACTCGAGTGCGGTGGATAAGTGTATAGAATGGACAGTTGAACATTGTGTCACTTGTGTGTAACATATGAATTATGTATTCAGACCATCAAATTTGTGATTGAATATTTGGATATTTTTTCAGAGTCCTATAAGTTGAGTACTTTGTTATTGTCAATTGGTTTATCAGAAAATTCTATGTTTATACGTGAGACACTAGATGTGGTTGTTCTTATGTAATTTCCTAAAATGTAATTATGGACCAAATTGTATCATAATCTGAGACAAGGATTTTGTGTTGACCATCCCTAAGGGCTAGGCCCATGGACCACCTTTACTCCATAAGTTTAAACTTTGTCCCTATAACTGTTAATTGATCTTGCTAGCCAATGGCCTACCCAATACGTCGTGCAGGGCTTTGCGAAACGTGGCTCAGTCACGGCCCACCTGGGGCCCGTGTGCACCTGTTTGGGTACAGCCTACCAGACTACCACCAAGGCACCATACTTAGAATCAGGCACCCTTTATATTTCCCACATTACAAAACAGAGAGAAATAAACCTCTTCACTAGATATTAGATGGAATTGTGTTTCACTCATCATACCCGAGTACTAGAAATCTTCAGTTTGAAAGTAGGAAGCAATCCGAATCTATAACCTTTCATTTTAAATAATTCATTTGCAATAAGTTTACAAATCGGATCCACATTTATGATTCATCTATAGGATATTACATTTATACTGAACTAAGCTAGCTTGATGTGCTGATCAAACAAGTGTATTGAGGTGCTTTTTTTTTTGGGAAGTATTTTCCCCAGTCAGCTTCAGCAGGCAACTCAGTGCTATTCAACTACTCAATAATGTTCTCCAAGAACAACAATCACGAATACCCAAAGAGAGATGAGTATCTCCTCAACTGTACTTCAAGCAACATGAGCATAACATGCCCTGCAAATTACTCACCTAATACGTTCAATAGCAACAATTTCACATTGAACCAAACATGCCCTGAGTACTTTCGATGGATACACGAGGACTTGAAGACATGGAAGAGCCAAGGGATCACAAGAGAGATGGTGGAGAGTTTGAAAAAGGATGCTCATTTTAGGTTGGTTATTGTGAATGGAACAGCATATGTTAAGCAATATGCAAAGGCTTACCAAACAAGGGACGACTTTACATTGTGGGGTATATTGCAGCTCCTGAAGTTGTACCCTGGGAGACTCCCTGATCTTGATTTAATGTTCCAATGCCATGACAAACCATCTATCAAGAGGAAATACTATAGGGGATGGAGGGCCGCCTTTGCTTATCCTCAGCCTCCTCCACAGTTTCACTACTGTGGAGATGACTCAACTTTCGATATTGTCTTCCCTGATTGGTCATTTTGGGGCTGGTAATCATCAGTTGAACCACTTTTTATGATCTTGATTCTAGATAATGCTTAATGTTGTTACATCCATAACAAGCATTTATCATCACTCATTAGTTTGCACTTTGCAATCATGTGATGCAATATGGTTGAGCAGAAACTGAGTTAATTTTTGTAAATTTTCAGGCCAGAAGTCAATGTAAAGCCATGGGTGCCTTTGGAGAAGGATTTACAAGAAGGTAATGCGATTAAGAGCTGGACATCTAGGGAGCCCTATGCATTTTGGAAAGGGAACTTACATAATGGTCCAAGACCTAAGCTTGGGAAATGCAATTCTATAAAAGACTGGAATGCTCAGATCATTGACCAGGTAATCATCTTCCATTAATTTCATTCAAGCAACATGGCCCCCATAAAGTCGAGCCTGTCTGTTGTTGGACTTGGCCACTGGCCACCTCTCCTTGTTAAATAATGACAAAAGCTGCAAGACTAATTGCAGGATTGGATCAAGGAATGGAGAGAAGGGTTCAAGGACTCAGATTTGTCGGAACAATGTGTTCACAGGTGAATTTTTTTTTATCCTTTTTTTCTTTCCTTGCTCCCTTCTACATCAGAATATGGATGCTAGTTAATATACTTTTGTTTTGGGTGAAAAATTATCTGCGCGCAGGTTCAAGATATATATGGAGGGAAATGCATGGTCAGTGAGTGAGAAATATATTCTGGCTTGTAACTCCACAAGCCTTCTTATAAACCCTATATACTATGATTTCTTCACAAGAAGCTTAATTCCAATGAAGCACTATTGGCCTGTAAGTGATAAGCACATATGCAAGTCCATCAAATTTGCTGTTGAATGGGGCAACAACAACACTGACAAGGTAATTTTCTGATTTTACCTCTGTTTTATCATTATAAGGTATTCCTCATGATGTAGAAGCTGAAACTTGACCATTAAATTTGGTTACCTCTGTTTCATAGTAATTAGCTATCACCCTATTCATGTTAATGAATGTAAAAACAGGCCCAAGAGATTGGAAATGCGGGGAGCAAGTTCATATTTGATCAGATAAAGATGGAACATGTGTATGATTACATGTTTCATGTGTTATATGAATATGCAAAGCTGCTTAAGTTTAAACCCACTGTGCCTGAGGGAGCAGTTGAACTTTGCTCAGAGAGATTTGCCTGCAGCCCAATGGGGTTGGAAACAACATATAAGATTGAGACCATGGTAAATGGGCCTTCAGAACGAGGCCCATGCCAACTTCCCCCACCTTATGATCCACTTACAATTCAATCCATTCGGGATCAAAATGCCAAGATCAAGAAGCAAGTTAAGATGTGGGAACCAAATGCTTGGTACGAATGGTAAGAGGGTGAGGGAGTTGTTCTACCTTAACCAAAGTTCTTGAGTATGAGCCTAGGAATACAACATTGATTGTTGGGAGATCTTTTCCTTGTTTGAGGCTCAATTAGGCTAGTAGCCAGATTAGTGGAGATAAAAATATGTTCCAATTCTTGTACGAGTACTTCCCTAGTGTACGTGATGGTTAGCGGGAAGTACCTTGTCTTTTTACCCCTTGTTAGACCTTAAACAAAAGGATGCACTTAGGGATATAGCAATAGAATTATTTTTGATTGAAACACATTTGTATACAACTGGAAAAACTAGACTCTTGGTCTCATGGACTTCAGAACTTGTTTATTGGATGTATATTTGTTATGGAGAATTGATTTGTGACCATTTTTTTTTTTTTGAAAGTCAAATTAATTTTCCTGCATTATATATGTATTGTTAGTTTGGTAATTTGTAAAATTCCTACTTCAGACATTATTTGTTATTCTTATCCTATTGAACGAGATGAAGAAAATTGTCTAAAGCATTAGCGGGTTAACCTATACTGAAAAAACATTATTGAAATTGAAAATTGAATTTATATACCAAAAAACAGAACTATGGTTAATGAACACAGCAAAAGTACAAATACAATAATAACGTTGAAATTGTTAAAATCCTCATATAAATAAAAATAAATAAAACATTGGAGAGAAACTGAACTGTTGCTTTGTAGTCTTTCAATCTCCTCTGTATGTTTAAACATTGAAGCAGTGACATCTACACGAGCAATCGAATAAAGAATTTGTAATGAAAAAAATTGCAGTAAGCATAATTCACAATTAATTGCATCTCAATTAGTTAACTCTCCCTTTAATTATGTCAAAACTCATCTCGCTTGGATCTGTAGCTTGTAATTCAACCTGAAAGCCATCCAACTCTCTCTTGAATGTGTCCTTTGAGCTTGCATACAACATCTTACTTCTCACTCTTGATGTGTCTGGTGACCTGCATTCATTAGTACACTAGATTGTGAAATGGTGAGGAAAAAAGGCTGTCAATTTCCGTTCACGTGTGGTTACAGTTGTGCTTTACTTGAATCTAACTACAATATGTTCATTTGCCTGCTATTAGTTACCTAACTGTTGTTAGTCACGTAACTTTTATCTCGAGACATGGTTAAGAGTGCTCGAAATTATAATACTGATGTCTGATAATTATCGAGCATAAGCATGTAAAGAATGTGAATGAAAATGTATACCATGCAATGAAGAAGATCTTGCTCTTTTGACAATTTTCAATTGTAGTGAAATCATAATCATAAACAGCATAACGGCACTCATTGTCAGGCAATGAATTGGTGAAATCTTCATAAGTTTCGTTTGGTGTTCCTATCTTCTCGACCATAATTTGTTGCATCTTCTCCTCTATCTTAAACACTATAAACCGATGGTTTCTTTTGCTTTCAGCTCCAAAAACTTCAATTTGCATTCATCATCTACCGCCATTCCTGACTTTGCGTTCGCCTATTATTGCAAATTACAAATAATTCATCATTTAATCATATAAATATTACTGATGATGAACAAGGTTGTTATTAGCTCAATTGTTCTTGTTTGGAAAGTGAACGTTATAATCTGAACATCCTAAAATAGTGTATATGATGAACAATGTTCGTTCTTTTTAATATTGAGAGATAAATTCGTACAAATTTTGCAACATATCGGCATATCTATGAGTTAGCTAGCTATGTAATATGGTAGGTTTATGTACCCTGTATATAATTTTCATTCAGCCTTATCATAACCAGATTCGGAAACAAAAACAACTCTTTATATATGCAAAATTATTTATTGACAAAAATTCTAAATCCGTCACTTGGCAAAATTCAAATCTCATAACGAGCATGAAACAAAAAGAGAACAATTTCATTTTAAAGAGTAAAGAGCAATTACCATGTTGAAAACTTAGCGACGAGCAGCAGTCTCCCAACAAAATGTATCAATGGAGACGAACAGAATTTGGATGAATATGAGAAAAAATCAATGATCAAAAGAAGCTCTATTTGTTGTTTCAGAGAATTACAATCAAATTAAACGAAGAGGTTTTGAAGGATGAGAGATTTTTAAGGGTGTAAGAAATTAATTAGATTAATAAAGAGGTGATGGGGGAATATTAATATAATCTTCTTTGTTATTCTCTGTCTCAAGATATGGGTATGTAGTAACTAGTAAGTATTAGAATTATGCTTCCCACGTTTGATTCTTTATTGGTTTAATGAAAAATTAAAACCGATTTTCTGTCCATTTATTCCCTCTACTTGCTTCGTAATTACTTAATAATTTAGCCGTCTAATTTTTTTATATACACAAAAGGTGGTTCAAATTTTTTAAAAGAATCCTCTCTTTGACCTTTGCTTATTTCTCCATCCTAGGAGTGTGAGAGAAAATGTTTGTTGTTATTGTAACGTGTTGAGACTCGAAACCGTGTTATTCATTTTTGTGTTGTCCTATATGGGAGAAAGATAGATATTAATCACTCTATAAGGTTGAGGAGGAATGATTCCTATTTTCAAGTAATTTTGGAATAAAATCTCATTTGGTTTTTTTTAGTAAAGGTGGTAATTGGATCATTTGATTATGAAAATCAAATGAATTTAAAGTTTTAAATTATGTTTGGTTTTGGAGATATTCAGATATTACGAGTTAATTTGTGTTTGAATATAGGTTGGGCCTGATTTGCTAGATCTACTTCACTACTTGTTAGTTGCCCAAATTCATTTTCTTTTATTGGTGCCTATTTTGTTTTCTTAAAATATACTCCTTTAAAGTATTTATTCAATACATACACTTTAAAATACTACTCCATAGAATTTTACAAATAAGAAACACAAGACCTACGAATCTAGGATAAATGGGCATTTGGTTCGCGGAATATATAAATAAGGTATGAGTTTAGAATGTCTAAAACCCATGAAGTATGGGGTTTGGAAACCTTGGGGGGAGGTGGGTTTGGCCCATTCCATTCCCTTAGGTATCAAATAATAGGAGGGAATAGTGAGAGATTTCATACAAAAATTAAACCAAACACATGGTATTAAGTATTAAGTTTCAACCCGAGACCAATTGTAACCCCATTCCTGATTCCAAACCTATATCACTCTCCAAACCAAATGGTATGTGTAATTTCGTTAGGTTCATTAATTGATATTTTAAATTATCATTCTTTTTCATAATTTGTAATTTATATTTTTGTAAAATATTAATGATTAAATATTAATGGTATGTGTTTAAAAACTGTCAAGCCAAGCTAATAAAATACTACGTATTCATTACGTATAACCTAAATCCAAAAAAAAAAAAAAAAAAAAAAGAGGTAAAAATTAAGGTTGGACATTTAAAAGTCAATAAGAAGACCTGTTGACAAAATGACCCCAACATTAGCATTTAGCAGTCACGTATACAAAAGGTCCAATGGGTTTCTACTTTCAACTTTCGAGGAAGATACTTGTTTCTTTCCCCCGAACACGCTACGTTACCGGGTCCAACTTCAGACCTTCAGTCAATAATCCGTGTCTCAATGGCCCATAACCTCTCTTGATCATATCACGGAGTAGGCATTTTATTGGTTCAAAACTTCATACACGGTCACAGGCTAATCTGACTCGAGTTATTTAATTTTTACGGATAAAGTAATAAGCTACAATATTGAAAAGGGAATTGAAATACATTGAAATATTTTTATTCTGTCTTAAAAATTATTATCGTTTTCAATTTTTTTTAGCTATGTTTAATTTTTCATATTTCCCTGAAACAACTGTAGGTCGAGTAAGAGACTAAGAGGTCTAAAGAAAGATTACATTGTGACATTGAATAAAAAGTGAAAGTCTTATTCGTTATTAGTAAAGTTAATCATTTGAGTAAATTTGTTAACAAGATGAGCTTTAAATCATATGTACCTTCTAGTCAATAGGTTAGGGACAAAAAAAGTTTTATACGAAATATTAAAAGTGTTTATTATGAAAAATTAAAAGGTGTTAGCTAGATTTAATGGCTTACCATGTAGCGGCACCTATACTCTTGACTTCTTATATATGTGGCAAATCCTTTCTTGCACGTTTTAGTACTTCCATATGGACTTAATGTCCTATCATTACATGCTACTAAATGACTTGATATAATTCTTACTTTATCATGTATTTAATTTTAAATAATGTTTGCAAATGTAAGAAACAGAACACACAGTAATATTTAAATCCACAACCTCTTTAATATACGTAGTATTACAATTTATTTCAACGTGTAATCACCCAATAACTTTCTTGATAAAATTATAGCGTACTCATCTCTTATATTATATCATTTATATGATATTGTAAATGGTACGAAATTACTCCAAATTTTGTCGGTTTACATCTTTCTGTTCTTTGCTTAATCAAATGCATACATATAAGATAAGGCATTAAAATATTTTGATTTGTTAGACACTTATTTAATGTAATGGTCAATGTATGATAATCATGTAAAATATTTGGTTTAGGTAGATGCATGGTTTTGTTAATCTATTTGGATTACCCTCATGGGCCCCATGTGATGACATGGTGCAAGAGCATGATGTTTCCATATCAACTTGCAAATCAAGTCTTCATAGAAATCCAAATAATTTATTATAACTAACAACAATTAGATAAAAAAAAATAAACTAGTCACCATAGGATGACAACGACGTCGTATATTGAATTATAATTAAGAACATTAGTCACCCAACTTCTTACATTTAACAACAATAAATATAAATTGAATTGAGTATGGACAAACTTCATTTTCAAGAAAAATGAAGTTGCATTGCTTAATTAGCTAGTTTTGTTAAATAAATCAACGCTCAACATGAAGGCATGCATTCATCATCATAATTGACTAGTAGCTCACTTATATTACTATAATCTTAATTTAGCTATGATTTGTTTTAAGTAACTAAAATAAGTCTTTATTTCCAAATGTCACATTAAATCACTATTTATTTTTTTTTACTATGAGTAATTGGATTCTGAAATTAATTTCATTAACCATAAATTTTTTATATAGAATAGGTGAAAACAATCTTAATATTTCATCTTACAAATCAACCCAATGACTTTATATATTTTCTTTTAAAAAAATTGGAAAAAGATATGCATATAAGAAGCTAAAAGTGAAAAGAATAGACCATAAATAAATTTATTACATCGATTTCCTCGTAAATTGTTGATAAATTTCCTAAGA